TTTTATACCCAGTCATATTTATGCATGCGTATCATATTTTAGTCTCAATTGTTGTTATTGATACATCATATCGTTGTTGTCGGGCTAGTTTTATGACATTGTGAGCTCGTGAGTGAGAGTGGAGAGAGTGATGACTGAGTGAGGCCGAGGGCTTGAGTGAGAGTGACATTTTGGGATCGGGTTGCACGTCGCAGCATATTATATTATACTTTATAGGATCGGGCTGCACGCTGCAGCATATTATATTATACTTTATGGGATCGGGCTGCACGCCACACCAATATATTGATTATATTTTATGGGATCGGGCTGCACGCCGCAACGATATATTGATTACATTTTATGGGATCAGGCTGCACGTCACAGCGATATAGCACTTGGGCTGAATTAGCCCCTTCGGAGTCTGCACACCCCCAGTGAGCGCAGTCGACTATATATATATGTGGATCGGGTTGCACGCCACAACAGTTATTGTACAGCGCTGAGTGATTGAGTGTGCTGAGCATTGAGCATAGTGAAAGAGGATGCGAGACAGTGAGATTATGTACTCTGAGAGTGTGAGTATATGATTCATCTCTGGGATGCATGGCATTTGCATGCACACATGACATACAGGTATAGAAATGCATTTTTCCTCATGCTAAATAGTATCACGTCATTCATGACTTTTTACACACATTGATATGTGGGCATAGAGAGGTATTTTTCACTTGTTATCTGGAAAGAAAATGAAACATCTTATTTATTGTGGAAAGAATATTAGGAAAAATTAAAGTTTTCTAACTTACTCTTATTTTTGGCATTTTGGTAAAAGATTTTGGGTTTTCACTGAGATACTTGAAAAGCATGCCCATTTTCTATAACTGTGAACGAGCTGAGCATCTTACATCAGAGATACCTCTTTTATTACCTGTATTATGCTGTTATGAACTGATGTGGGACATTGGTTTTGTACCCGACCTTGTGTTAGCTCGTCACTACTTTCAACCTAAGGTTAGGTTTGTTACTTACTGACTACATGGGGTCGGTTGTACTCATACTACACTTCTGCACCTTGCGTGGAGATGTTGGGTGTTGTTTTTGTTGTGTTCGATGGGAGCTGGATTGAAGATGTACCTGTGTCCCGGTAGTAGCTGCCCCTTATTCGTAGTATCTTTAGATCTATAAAACTCTATTTATGTACTTTTCAAACAGACGATGTATTTATTTCCTTTCACCTTTGTAAATTCTATTCTTAGAAGCTCATGATTTGTATTACCAGTCCTTGGGAAATATATGAGATTTATATATTTTGTTTTTCTTAGTTGTCTTATTAAATTTCATTGAAATTGGATAGTTGTTAATTGGCTTACCTAGCGGGTTGGGTTAGGTGCCATCACGACTAGTTGGATTTTGGATCGTGACATATTTCCATGCGCTTGAGAATGTGGACCAGATATGGATCAGGTTCCTTATCTGGTTCTTGACATTAAGTTTGTTAGATCATCAAAACATAAAACACGGGTACTTGTAACCTATCAATTTCCCCATTTTTTATGATGGCATATTTATAATTTAAAATCCTACGAAGAACAACAAGGAACCAGACAGTAAACCAGAAAGGTCATTGAGTTTCCCCCTGAATCTGTATTTCCCCGTAATCAGTGCACATCATTATTCAATTATTTAGTTATGCATAATTCTTCCACCTTTTGGCATCATAAAAAGAAGAAAACTAGGTAAAAGCAAAAAGAAGTCCAGCGTGGTTAACTCATGCCACTTGTGTGCACATAAACATGATAGAAAACAGAGACAAAAGAATAATTTTATACACGGCAAAAGGGGAAAAGCTTCCATAAACCAATTTGGATTTTCCAACGGAAGAAGATTCAATGTTACCATCCACAATTCAAAAACAATTACCAACAACAAAAACATCATCAGAAACATTCATAAGAGATGGACACTAGAAAACTGGACACTGAAGGGGACAATACTTATGGGGCACTGGAGGAAGAGGGGCTTGGAGGAGGGGCAAGGGTTTTGAGGACAAGATCCATGCGAGCATTCACGGACATTTGCTCATTGAGCAGTCTTTCTTTCGGGTCCTCCACTTATTTCCTGAGCTCAGCATTCTCCTTAGTCAGGTGGGCAACCTCTGAGTTGTGAGAACTACTAGAACCAGGTGCCTCTTGTAGCTGACTGAGCTGACCCTCAAGAATCGCGTTCCTTGCCTTTAACTTCCTGATCTCCTATGTAGCACTATTATGAGCATTTATCTGTTGAGAGACAGTAGAGGTGTTTCTAAATCCTCTGACCTTGTCAATACACTCACACTTTTCAAGAGTGGTCTTGGAGAAAGTTTGCTTCTTAGTGCCCGCTTTGGCCTATCCCAGAGGTACCTTGAAGAAATCAAAGACCTTTGTGAGAAGAAACCCATAAGGTATCCCATGGTTGCCATCCTTAAATTCTGCCACTTTTTGCATTGCTCAATCATTATCCCAGGAAGATTGATGGTAGTAAAGCTATCCAAGGCTTGCATAAGGACCAGGTCAGCTTTGGACGTAATAGATCTCTCTCAGCGTGGGGAAGCAACACTTTGTTTACCATCTCAAACAGTAACTGATATACTGGAAGGAGTGCCTTCTTATGCACTCGTTCCCCCTGCTGGATTGCCTTATCCTTAACTATGGCATTTCTGAAATTGGAAGAGCATGCGCCTTGAACTGATGACAACCCTTCAGCAAGAATACCCAGAATTGACCCCAACAAGGCAGAGTCCATCACTATGTCAACCCCATTCACCAACACACAGATGTGATCATCTTCAACTTTGAAAAAGTCGGCATAGAAGCTCCACACTTCCTCCTCATACACTTTTGTAACATCATTTGTAAACAAATGAGTCCAGTGTTGAAAATCACAAATTTCCACTAATTTCCGCATCCCGGCAAGCTCCACAATGTCAGGGGCAAAAGTGCGGCACCACAGTACCTTCTGATTTCTCAACTTCCCTTTCCCAGAACTTTGGGATTCTTCAACCTTAGCTTTCTTGCAGGAACTAGATTCCTCATCCACATCCACTTTTATTTTCACAGACTTGCGAGTAGGCTTGCCCTTCTCAACGGACTTTGCAGATACATGTTCACCAGATTCTTTCACCACTTCCTCATCAGAAATTGCACCACCTTCTTTCACTATCTTATCACTAGAATCATCCACCAATTTTCCACTAGAAATAGCATCAGCACTCTTGGTTGGACTCTCAACACTTAATGAGATGTTCTTTTTGGACATGAAGAGAGAGTGCTTCTGCTTCGAGTGCTTGTGAGTTAAGGAACCAGGTTCCTCTTCTGCTTCCTCATCCACATTGACAACAAGGACAACCTTCTCATGTACATCTTTCCCATCCTTCACCAACTTCCTCCTCCTTTGACTACCTTGACTTTTCTTAATAGCAGACTCAAGAGCCTCCTTCTTTTGCAACCTTGTAGTGGGCCGCTTAGGAGTTGGCTATGGAGTTGCAACTGGCTTACTCCTAGCCCTGATAAAGCTAGCAATCACAAGATCATCTAAATCTTCTTCATCATCAGACTGCATCTCAGGCGCCACCATAGACAGAGGCTCAGCATAAAAATGGGGAGATGGAGCAGGATCAATACTGACCTGGGGCTCTTGAGATGACCCCTGAGTTGGATCCTCCGTAGAGGGATCAGGTCCATCATTAGGGACCCCAGTAGTATCATCATGTGCTGATTTTTCAACTGGCACAAGATCCATCCCATCTACTACGGTCTGAGGCTCTCCCCCCTGAGGCTCAGACCCATCTACACCTCCCTCAACAAAAACCCCTTCAGCAGCTATGAAGAGCATGTTTTCTATTGCCTCTTTCTTTTGTGGTTCCATGGAAAACTCATCAGAAGGAGGGATATTACCTATAAACTCAAGACCTGTCGTGGTTGAGTCAGCATTGTCAGGACCAACCTCGTGGTCTTTACTTGAGTTCTCTTCCATGGCAAGATTGGAAATTTCCTGATTTTCCTCTTTGACCATGTTACCCTGTTCACCTTGCTTTTCCGGCGAGACTGTAGGAGAGCTGGTAGCAACAAACCTTTTCGGAGTCGAGGTTTTGCGACTCCGATGAGAACCAGAACATGAGTGGGAAGGTGAAGAGACTGAGTGTGGGGGAGATTCTACTCTAGGATTTGTACTGGTGTTGGTGTTGGGTGAGGAGTCTAATATTGGAGTTTCAACTGGTGAGGACTCGATGGGGGTGTCATTAAGAACACTAGAGTTTTCCTGATTCTCAGTCATGGTGGACTTTACTGAAGAGATTAGTGGCTTGAGAAGAGAGAAGGGGAGGTGAAAATTTTGAAGTTTGATGTGAGGAGTTGTGACATTTATAGATGTATTTATGAGAGATGAGGGACCGGTTAAGAAAAGGCGACAGTTTTTTGGGATCCGGGTCGCTCATTAACAGGTGAGACGTTTAATTTCAAAAGACGCAAAGGAAAGCAACCGACACACTGATGATATAGCATTATTTTTATCCGTTCTAAATTGTGTATGAGAAAAAAAAAGCTACTAACCTTTGTACAGAGAACCAGGTTCCCTGACAGGTCTTGTAAGTGTAAGCTTAACCCCTTTTACTAGCATGTTCTGCACCAGCTGCTCTGTAATCATCATACATGTCTACATGTAACGGTATAGTAATGAGTTGGACTTTGCCAGAAAATACTTTTAGCTAATTTTACCGGTACATTTCTTTCATAGCCAATCATTGGGGGACCAGGTCCTCAGTTGGGTTTTATCTACCCTAGTGCCAGGTGATTTCTTTCAGAATGTTCTTTGCTCAAATCTTTGGTGAAGATGTCTGCAATCTTATCTTCAGTGCTGCAAAACTTCATACAGATGAGCCCTTTTTCAATATTGTCTTTGAGGAAATGATGACGTACATCAATGTGCTTGGTCCTCTTATGTTGGACTGGATTTTTGGCCATGTTAAGTGTACTTGTATTGTCTTACAAGAGGGGCACACAATCAAAGAATACTCTAAAGTCTTCTAGCTGTTGTTTGATCCATAGCAATTGAGCACAACAAGAGGCAGCTGCTACATATTCCGCTTCTGCAGTTGAGAGTGCCACCGAGTTTTGCTTCCTTGTACCCCATGAGTTGAGACAAGAACCTAGAAAATGTGCCATTCCAGACGTGCTTTTACTGTCCACCAGATATCCTGCATAATTAGCATCAACATACCCAACTAGATCAAAGTTGTCACTTGAGGGATAGTAGAGAACCAGGTCTTGCGTTCCTTTAAGATATCTCAATATTCTTTTAGCAGCCTTCATATGAGACTCCTTTGGATTTGATTGTAACCTTGCACAGAGACCCACGCTGAACACAATGTATGGTCTGCTTGCAGTGAGATACGGGAGTGATCCTATGATGCCTCTGTACATGGTTTGATTTACAAGGGAACCAGGTTCATCCATGTCTAGACGCGTAACTGTGGCAATGGGGGTGTCAATAACTTTTGATGCTTCCATGTCGAATCTTTTCAGCAGCTCTTTGATGTACTTCTGCTAACTTATCAATGTTCCTTTTTGAGATTGCTTTACCTGAAGTCCCAGGAAGAAATTTAATTCTCCCATTATACTCATCTCAAACTCACTTACCATGAGTTTTGCAAATTTTTCACATAGAGAGACAGCAATGGCCCCAAAGATGATATCATCAACATATTCTTGCACAATGAGTAGGTTCCTCCCTCATTTCTTTAGGAAGAGTGTGTTGTTAATTTTTCCTCTTGTACAGCCATTTTCTAGAAGGAATTTTGACAACCTTTCATACCAAGCCCGAGGAGCCTGCTTTAGCCTATTCAATGCCTTGTCCGGTTTAAATACATGCTCAGGATGCTCGTGGCACTCAAATACAGGAGGCTGCTTGACATAGACTTCGTCCTTTAGGAATCCATTCAGAAACGTACTTTTGACATCCATTTGGAATAATGTGAACTCCATATGAGATGCAAAAGTAATAAGAATTATGATATCCTCCATTCGAGCAACTGGATCAAATGTTTCATCGTAATCAATCCCTTCTTCCTGATTGTAGCCTTGAACTACTAGCCTTGCCTTATTCCTTGTTGTATTTCCAAACTCATTGAGTTTGTTCCTGAATACCCACCTGGTCCCTATAATGGTTCGATCTACAGGTCGAGGAACCAGGTGTCATACCTTGTTTCTTTCAAATTAATGTAAATCCTCTTGTATGGCTGTGATCCAGTCTGCATCATTCAATGCTTCTTTGATATTTTTGGGCTCTATTTGGGAAAGAAAGGGTGAAAAGGCAAGTGAGTTTCTGGCTTTTGATCTGGTTTTGAACTCCTGAGTCAAGAGGGGTGATTATGTTGTCAAGAGGATGTAAGCTTTTGTGCTTCTAATTTCGTACCTGAATCTCATTGGTAGAGGACCCAGGTATATCTGACTGAGGTTCTTGGCCGCTACTTACTTCAGCAAGTGGAGTACCTTGAACTTTATCAACAACTCTATTTTCAGCTTCAGTTATTGTGATCGTGGAACCAGGTTCCTCTCCAATGGATAGAGATGTGGTTGCATCATCTTCACTTGATTCCTTGACATGGCTCATCATGTCTGCCTTTCCATTTTCAATGTCAATAACTTCACATGGAACCGATAAAGGCTCTTCATCTTGATCAGCATGCCCGTCCTTCTCACAAAAGAGGTGAGACTCATCAAAGATCACATGTACACTCTCCTCAACACATTGAGTTCTTTTGTTGTATACTTTGTAGGCTTTGCTTTGGGATAAGTATCCCAGGAAGATTCCTTCATCACTTTTAGCATCAAATTTTCCAAGCGGTTCCTTGCCATTGTTGAGAACATAGCATTTGCAGCTAAAAGCCCTTAGGTGCGTTAGCTTGGGCTTTCTTCCATTCAGCAACTCATAAGGCATTTTGTTTAGAAGGGACCTGATCATGCACCTATTTATCAAATAGCATGCAGTGTTGACTGCTTCTTCCCAGAAATATTTCGCAATTCCACTGTCAATTAGCATTGTCCTTGCCATGTCTTCAAGAGTCCTGTTCTTTTTTTCTACAACACCATTTTGCTGTGGTGTTCATGGAGTAGAGAAGTTATGAGTAATGCCATTTTCAACACAGAACTCATCAAATCTGGCATTATCAAACTCTGTCCCATGGTTTGATCTAATGCAAGCCACATTTGTCCCCATCTTCACTTGGATCTTCTTGACAAAGGCAACAAATACTTGGAAGGTATCATCCCTGGTTCTGAGGAACAGAGTTCAAGTGAATCTGGAGTAGTCATCCACGATTACAAAGATATATCTTTTTCCTCCTCTGCTTGGCACCCTCATAGGTCCACATAGATCCATATGAAGAAAATCAAGTGACCTTGAGGTGCTGACTTCCTTTTTAGGCTTGAATGAAGATCTGCCATGCTTTCCTTTTGCACAAGCATCATATACTTTGTGTTCCTTGAAGCTTGACTTGGGCAGACCGCGAACCAGGTCCTTCTGGATTAGTTTGTTCAGTAATGAAAATCTTGCATGTCCCAGCCTTCTGTGCCATAATTCAGCATCATCATCAACGACTCTTAGACAGCTGAGATCACCACTTTGCATGGACTCAAAATCAGCAACATAGATGTTCTTGTATCTCTTGGCCACTAACACCACTTCTCCAGTCACAAGATTTGTGACTGTGCATATTTTTGACAGAAATTTCACCTTGTTTCCTTTGTCACATATCTGAGAAACACTCAATACACTGTACTTCAAACCATTGACATAGTACACATTCTTAATAGAGTGAGAGAGTGACTTGCCAATTCTTTTAACTCCCAGAATGTATCCCTTTTTGCCATTTTCAAAGGATACACTCCATCCTTGCAGGGCTTTCAGTGAAAGGAAATCGATTGTGTTTCTAGTCATGTGCTTTGAGTAGCCACTATATATGTACCATTGTTGGTTGCTCCCCTTCACTGCTCCCTGCACAAGGAAATCAAGGGTTAGTTTTAGGAACCCAAATAAGTTTGGGTCCCTTGTAGTGAGGAAAAGGATGAATGAGTGTTCCTTTAGTCCAGGCAGGAACCATGCGTTTTCTATATGAGGGACCAGGTTCACTAGCAGTAATTATGTTCTTAGCAAAAACTTTATTTTTCTGTTGAGACTGAACCCTGGCCTTGCAGTTTTCCTTGAGGTTCACATTGTTACCATAATGAGCACAAAGCCAATTATCGGGTACAGTAACATACTTGTTGTGAGGGTTGTAGGGAGTCTTCTCCCTTTGAAAACCAATTCCCTGCCTGTTCCCCCCATTATTTATGTACATGGTAGTGAAAGCATCAGAGGACCAGGTCTACTTGAGTGATTTTTCAAAATCACTCTTCACTCGTCCTAGTTCTTCTTGAAGTTGTTTATTTTTCTCAAGCTCAGCGCACAAACTGGACGTCACTGAATTTAACTCACTTTTAAGCTTAATGTGTGCCTCACTTGCAACTTCCTTTTCCTTTTGAGAATTTTCAGGCCTACTCTCCATTTTAAGTTCCTCAATTGTTTCCTTCAAGTCCACTACCACCACTAATAGGTCATCTCTCTCATGCTCAATGTTAGCAACTCTCTCAGTTAAAACTTCTTTTTCCTTTCTTACGCACTCAATGGTCTCTTTTAGGTCTACCACAACAACCATTAGATCATCTCTTTCATGTTTTATATTTGCAATTTTTTCATCTAAGGCATCCTACTATTTCTTTAGGTTCTCAATTTTTTTTTTAAATCAACTACAACGACTACTAGGTCATCTCTGGTCTGTTCTACTTCTTCTAATTCCATAGTTAAAGTATATTTATTATTTATAAGACTGTGATAAGTATCAATTAACACATTTTCCAAAGACATGAGTTTTTAGGAGAATAAGATTTTAGATTTCTCTGAACATCCAGAAAATTTACCTCATCATCGTCGTCATCTTCATCATCATCAGATTGAGCCATCAAAGCAAAGATTGAATCATACTCAGTTGCTTCACTTTCCACTACCATCATTGACCTATCACCATGATCATTTTCTTCTTCAGATTTGCTAGAGGTGTCTCCCCATGCAGCAAGAGCTTTCTTTACAACATTGTCAGCGATATGTTTTCTCTTGAAGGGTTTATCAGGAATCGGGTTCCTCTTAGCTGCTTTGTCTGAGTTGTGCTTGAATTGATCTTGCTTTAGGAGAGATCAGTCCTTGATGAAGTGTCTTGACTTGCCACATTTATGACAGAGGTCATAATATTTTGGCTTGCTAGAACTGCCCCTTTTTGGAATGCCTCCATTCCTGCGAATCATTTTCTGGAATCTTCTTGTCAAGTATGCTATATCAGTATCTTCACCACTTGAGTCATTGCTATCTGTCTTGAGGACCAGGTTCTTCTCTCATTTGGGCTCTCCTCTTTTATTGTCCTTCTTCTTCTTCATTTCATAAGTTTTCAAGTTTTCAACAAGCTCATCTATGGTCAGCGTCTGCAAGTCCTTCGCTTCTATAATGGCGTTCACTTTGCTTTCCCAAGAACTAGGCAGTACACTAAGGATTTTTCTGACAAGCTTGTTTCTTGGAATAATTTTACCAAGAGAGTGAATCTCATTAGTTATGAAGGTGAAGCGAGTATGCATATATTTGATGGATTCATCATCTTTCATCCTGAAGAGCTCGTATTCAGTTGTGAGAATTTCGATCTTGGATTGCTTAACCAGAGTTGTTCCTTCATGAGCTATCTGAAGAGCCTCCCAGATTTCTTTTGCTGATTGGCATGCTGATATCCTGTTATATTCAACAGGACTAATTCCACAAACAAGAATTTTCTTTGCACGAAATTTTTTTTCTATGGCCTTTCGATCAGCGTCATTGAATTCCTTCCTCGTCTTAGGAATGGCTACAGCTGGGTCGCCAAGATTCTTGGTAAGAATAAAGGATCTATCACAGATAACATCCCATACCTCTGAATCTTCAGCCATGATGAAGTCATGTATCCTAGTCTTCCACCAACTATAGTACTGGCCATTGAACCTTGGTGGCCTGTAGGTAGACTAACCTTCTTCAAAGTTTGGTGGAGCAGCCATGAGGATCCTTTCTAGGTGTTAGCCTGATAAAAGAACCCGCTCTGATACCAATTGATAGAATTCGAGGATCCACCAAACTATGCAGAGAACCAAGTTCTCTATTAGTTTCCACAGATTACATACACATAGCAGAAAGTAAATGACACTGATTGTTTTACGTGGAAAATTTCCAGCTCAACGGGATCAAAAATTACAACCTACCCTTGTAGAATTTCAACTTCACTATTGAGCAAACCGTTTAGATTACAACCTATTGTAACCTAGGAATTAACTCCTTAATCCCTCACTAACTTGTAACACACCTATTACAAGCCACTTTGTAATACCTCTATTACAAATACTTTATAACTTGACTAACTCTAGCCAAGACACAAACAGTGGGATTTATGATTTACAAGAGT